ACTACCAACACCTATACTCCTGAAAATTCTAATTTGTTTAATAAATCGAAAAACAGAGGAAGACAGGCAGGCACAGGGAGAGGGAGGGACAGAAAGAACAAGAAAGACCATCTAGGACCAATAAACATGGGAAATACCACATACCATATTCCTTTCTTGAATGTTCAAATCATGCACTGGAGAATCTGAGAAAGAAGCCTAGCTGTAAAGAAATCTGCTTGAAATTGTAACCCCTCTGTACAGTATTTTCACAATAAAAAATAAATAAAAATTAAAAAAAAAAAAGAAATCTGCTTGACTCAAAATTCTTTTTCCAACTCACATCCATTAACATTCTATGGGTTGGGTGCTCTATATATTGGAACACACTGACTTAGTAAGAAGAGAAATGTATTTCCAAGTAATTGAGCTGGAAAGTAAGGAAATTAAAACAGCATGGCTAGTGTCAAGCAAGAGTTCAGAGATGGCACCATGTCATCTTCATTTCCTTCCATAGTTCTGTTACCCTGAGTCTTGGAAAGAAATGAAAAGTAAAGGTGTCCTTGAATGGCAAAGATAAGGAGAATGGATTTTCTTCTTTTAGTTTACCACTAAAGGTTTTTGTACGAGAGTAAAAACACAAATCTGCCTTTGACACTTTTTCTCCATGGGTATTTAAATCCCTACCAGAAATATAAAGCTTAGAATAGTATTCCTGCCTATTTATAACCTCTTTACAATAAACTACATGATTTTCCTCCCTCAGTATTGGCAAAGTTACATTCCTACCTCAAAAACTATGAGGAAATCAAACTTGTCCTTTAAATAAACTAATTTGAAAGATTTAAAAAATATTAGAGACTTTCAAAAAGAGGAATAGGGAATTCAATATCCCAAAGTGTGAAAATGCCACATTTTTACACTCAAATGATTCAAAATAGATGAACAGAAGGCTTCTAAACTTTCTAAAAATATGCATCTTGGGCAATAAAAAAAGTCAATCTAAAGGGTCATTTATTTCAAGTACCAAAATGCCTGATTTAGTATACCTATGAACCCCATGGCTGACTAGGTCTAGGATCCCAGCTGAAGAAAGGCCCTTCACACTCTTCGCAAACTCCTTAATGATATGTTTAGCTGGGCTAATTTTAGACCTGCCGGAAGCTTTTGATTCAGTTAGCCATAAGGTGTTGGTGACAAGTTTGTGGTCAATGGTGAGTGTGGGCTGTGTTCCTTTTGAAGCTGGTTAGTGAGTTCATTCCTGAAGACATTGACAGTGTCAATAGGTAGTCATAGGAGTTGTTTCTGACCCACATATATCTCCTGAGAGGTCTTTTCTCCCTCCTCTGTTTACCTAATATGGTCAGGAGAGAACCATCAGAGGGAGAAATAACACATTTTCAGTGTATCCATCCCATTACCATCTTTTATTCTGGTCCTTTCAAAGCAATCTAATTCTGATCCTTTCACTTGGTTCACGGTTATTTGAATTCAGGAAGGAAGTAGCTGATTTCAAGTTGGCCTAAATAGGCTGAGGTTGTGATCTTTGGTGAGAAGAAAGGTTGTAAGGATATCAGCAAGAACTTGTACCATAGCTATTTAGGGACTCACTGGTCTTTTGAAAGATGTTCACATGTAGTCAAAACAGTCCCCTTCTTTTTTTCAAATTTTGAGGTGCTTGTGCTTCAAGGGAAGACTATCTCTCCTGTTCTTATGGTTCATCCCATGTTTTTTCTACTTTGTTAGAAAAAGAACATACAGAGGAATTTCATTACTCTAATTTCTTTCACCTTATGAATTTTTAGACCAATCAACTCAGACACTTCTTACCTCTCAAGATTTATTGTGAATGGGTTTTATTTGATATACTATGTAATTCTAGTCTATGAAGAACAGTAAGGTTATCTGTAGAAAGAAATGTCAATGTTCTGTTAAAGAACTCACAGGGAAGGGGAGCAATAGGAAGGGGTAACTGTCTTTAATACTGTCCCTTCTCAGATTTCAACAATGTTTGTTGTGATAGCAGGACTTGAAGCAAATTCATTAGCATGTTTTTATTTTACAGAATGAGAAAGAAAGAATTATTTGATGAATGCCAGGTGCTGGTGACTCACTCCTATAATTCTAGCTACTCAGAAGGCTGAACTCTGAAGATCAAGATTTGAAGCCAGACCAGAGAGACAAAACCAAAGGAGTCTTAAACAACAAAAAGGCCAAACTGGAGATGTGGCTTAAGTGATAGAAAGCTAGCCATGAGTGAAAACGTGAGCATGAGGCTTTGAGTTCAAGCTATAGGACGAGCACACACATTTTATGTAATTGTATAAAATGCTTCAGCAAAATCAGAAATTTTCTATGGAATAAGGACTTATACACTTTATCTCATACTTTCTAAACAATATCATTCATGTTCCTTACCATGGGTCAAAAAACTTGGAGGACAACAGGATAATAAAGGTATCGGGCCATGATAGAAAAATTAAATGTAAAAAAAATAAAGGTCAATTAGTGAGCAATCAGAATCATACTTTTCTTTCCAACTATTTTTTCATGTTAGCCTCCAAATATAAATCAGATATAAGTTAACCCTACCAGATATCCACTACTCATTTCACTCATTTGGCAGTCATCTGGGAACATCTTTTATTTGCTAAGAACTCTTTTGCACACTCTAAGAGACAAGAATATGCCTCTTGGGGCTGGGAAGGTGGCTCAGTGGTAGAGCGCTTGCCTTGCATGCATGAGGCCCTGGGTTCGATTCCTCAGCACTACATAAGCAAAAAGAAAAAAGCCGGAAGTGGCACTGTGGCTCCAGTGGTAGAGCACTAGCCTTGAGCTGAAGAGCTGAGAGACAGCACCCAGGCCCAGAGTTCAGGCCCCACGACCAGACCCCCTCCCCCCCCCCCAAAAAAGAATATGCCTCTGAAACTAACAGTTTAATAAGAGAGAAAAAAAATAGTCCTCCTGCTTACAAATTCCAAGACATTGATCACCAACTGTGACACAAAGAGGCCTCCATTAGGTCAGTGCATTATGAGTAATTAAAGCTGGGTATAGTGGTTCCCAACTGTATTCTCAGCTACTCAGGAATAGTGATAGAAGGATTATGGTACCAGGCCAGCCCAGCTAAAGATAGTGAAGATCCTATATAAAAAACAAGTTTTGAAGAAGCAAAAGTACTATAGGTGTGGCTTAAGGGGCAGACTGTTTGTCTGGCAAGGAGAATGTCCTGAGTTTGATATCCAGTACCACAAAAGTTTTATATGCTTTTCTTTAAGGTTAAATCTGAGAAGTGTCACTTCTAGCTGAAGAGAGCCAAGAAACTTTTATAAACAAGATGGCACCCTAGCTCAAGACGCCAACTATTTTGTCCTTTTACAAATATAGTAAAAGGACACTGAGGAATAACCTTTCTGGAAAAAGAAATGTTATGAGGGCACAAAAATAAAGGGTGTGTTCGGCAAACAGCTAGGGACCCAGTTGGCTAACCCATAGGATAGATAAATGAAAAGAGATCTGGCTAGAAAAAGATATTCAAAGGCAACTTGTGGAGATTCAAGAAAATAGAACTCCAAAGCTTATGTCTAGTTGATGGAAACCCACTGAAAACCCTTCAAAGGTCTATCTTTGGACAAATCAATTGGGCCCCAGTGAAATGGAGACTGGAGATGCCCTTTGCCTGACTTATGTAACTGTAAACCTTCTGTTTTTAGCATTTTTCTAATAATAATAATAATGACACAAAAAAGAAGCCAAGTGAGATATAATAAACATGAATGATGGAAACGGAAGAGACAGGTTCCCCAGGCATTGTAGCAGGTACAACTTGATATGAAGACTTAAGCAACATTTCCCAGAGTATTTGAGAGGAAGAGAAAATTCTACCACATCAAATAAAACTTGAAAGTGTGGTATTTTGAGCCAACCACTAAGATAGTCTCACTATTGCTCGATATTGTGGACTGATGGAATGATTTTGTTTGTAGAAGGTTGAGAATGTTTCATTCACTGTAAGACTTTCAAATTTTATATTTTCTCTTCAATATGTTTCAAAAGTGTGAAAGAACTAAAATAAAAATGATACCACAGATAGATTAAAGAAAGGCAGGGGAGGTCTTGCAACCTCTTCCCTGAGGTACAACTACAAAATGTGGATGTGTGGCTGTTGAACATAAAAGAGATCATCTATTACAGACTATGTGATCAATTATTCTGCTCTACCATGTCCTCTATATGTATCACATACATGCTCCAGCTCTTATTCATTTCTGTATCACAGAGTCCCGCCAACTTTGACATTATTGATTTGGCAAGAACTTGCCTACAAAAGTCCCCTATTAACAAAGAATCCAACACATATATAACATTTTTTTCACTTAATCACTAAGAAGCTTCAACCCCCTATGGAGATGTTGAGGAATTAGGGACAAGGGCTTGGGGATTGAAAATATGCTTAGCATGATCTAAGCTTTGGGTTCAACCTTAGAGAAAAAAATAGGGGACAAACAATAGCAGTCCTTTCATCTAATATAGCTTTGAACACAGATACATTCATGATATCTCCCTTGAGAAGTTTCTCTGAGAATCAGGAGGCAACCTAACAAAGTCATTTTCACTGAGCTCACTGTTCAATTTGGGTTTATGTCCTTTTCTTCTTCTTCTTCTTTCTCCTCCTCCTCCTCCTCGTCTTTCTCCTCCTCCTCCTTCTCCTCGTCTTCCTCCTCTTTGTCCTCCTTCTTCTTCTTTGTCTTCATTTTCTTCAATACTTAGCCAAACCCTTCATGAGTACTTGGTATGGGCCCAGTGCTAAGCCAGTGATGCATATCAAAGACGAAAGGCAATTGCCCTTTGTGTCGTGTAAATGCAAGTATGAAGAGTCCACTTTCCATGTGAAAGTCCTCCTCCAAAAGCAAAAATCTTTTCTACCCAAACCTGGTGGCAACTGCAAGCGAGTGCTCCCTCGAGGTCACAGATGGAGCCTTCAGAGTCCTGGGATGGGGATGCCAGTGGTAGCTGGGCCAGGTCCTAGCTGTACATAGCTGGCAGGTCACTTAAACCCTCAAAGGCTCAGTTGTTCTGTTCTGTGAAATGGTGTTATTATACGTGTACCTGCCAGAGAGGATTCTGGTATAAGAAATGAGACAACTAACAGAAACATTTTAGGATAACATCTATTAAATACTTTTTTTAAAGAACTAGATTAAAAAATGATTATATTAATACTGACAGTATAAACATCTGACTTGTGAGGAATCTGACAATGACCTCTGATGGCTGTAACAGTGACTATCCTTTCATAAACCAAGTAAGGATAAATCACTTTTCCTAACACATCACAGAAGGGTCTAGAAATGAATGCCCCTTCCAGTTTACATGGTACAGGAGCAATTCTTCTTCAGTCTTTTATTTCTCTCATTTTCGATATCAAAACTTTTTCATCTGCTCCCAACATTTATTTCCTACTTAGAGACACAGTGTTAAGATAGGAGAGCCCCTAGTTTGCTGACAATGCTGTCACCACCCAGGGTTGAGAATCTGAAGGCCTGTTCTACAAGGAGCAGTGAACTAAAACCACTCACATTCCACCCAGAGGGAGCTACTGGTATGCCAGACAGGTTAGAGGATCAAGCCCCCAGTGAGGAATAGTAGAAGCACGAGAAATCACAGAAGGAAGAAAAACAGAAATGTATCCTTCTTGCAAACAGTCAGAGTAATTGAAAATAAAACAGGAAAGAATGAACTAAAATAGAAATTCATAGTTGAGGGAGGGGTAGAATGAAGTGCTTTAAAATCACAAGTTGTGCATCTTTCATTCTCTGAGATTCAAGGTCATGGCTTAGATGAATTTATAGCTGTGTTCAACCCCTCTGTTAAACACAATCTAGAGCTGGATTCTGATTATGTGTTGCTAGGCATGCTATACCCTAAGAGGTCAGAATGCATACTTAATCAAGGGGAAGCTGCCGGACACAGGTGATCTTCAGGTCCCCACGCACATACTTATGCAAGCCCATTTAGAGTGTACATAATAAAGTTTTCAAGGTCATTCTGATTTTCTTCAATGTTCCTCACCCTCAGCTTCCCTACTGGGCATTGACAGCCACCCCAATATTCCGGGAAAGGCGTGATCTCCTTCAACTACCACACCCTCTTCTCAAACATCATCTGCAGACACAAAATGTTAGCATGATAAATTACATCACCATCTTGGTGAGGGTTATGGATCCAGACAACAATTTCCCACATAGTCCAAGGTGACCGAGCAGCCTTGAAGCAGCATGCTATCCAAATCAGAAGGGACAAAGCCTCTTACTTGAGCAGGTGCTTTTGAACCCAGCAGATCTAGGAATTTATAGGTTTCTTGCCTTTAAAAATGTAGATAGGAATAGGAGCCCTAGAAGTTTTCAGTGCTGCACAATTTATGCTAGTTCATTACCTCCTGCTAGACTCCAAGGCTTTGTAACGGAAATTGGCTCTGATTTCTGAGATGGGCATTACATCATAGTCTTCTTTTAGCACATTATGTCATCCCTGCTGAGACGCATTATCTAGGGTTGGCTCAGCAGTAGCGATTTTTGTGGGCCGACTGCAGTGTTCCCAAAGAACTGCTGGGAACCACAGATTGAAATCTGAAGCATTTATCTTTTAAAAAGCTGGAAAAGGGGAAAGATCTTCATGTCAGGCCCCATTTATTTTCCTTAACCCTTTCCTAGCTCAGCTCCTTGGAGATTACATCACTGTAGATGCCAGTGAACAAGCAATGAACTGAGTTGGTGCAGCAGTGATCACTGTGAGATAAAAGCCATTAAGGGGTCTGAGATGCCGCTCTCTCTTCAAGGCTGATATACCTGACACTAGTCATGATTAAATCTCAAGGGACAGTAGAAAACACTGTAAAGGACCCACCTGGCACTCCCACATCGATAACCTGCCTCATTCTTGCATGGTTGCAGAAAAGAATATGTGGATTAAACTCTGTGCACACACACACAGACTTACCTATCCTTTCAATCACATTATGGCCAGAAACGTCTATAAAAATAATTTTTTATTGGGGTGGGGGAAGGAACTGAGCTGATATTACCTCTTGTCACTTCAACCATGAAATTAGAAGTCTGTTTTGTATTTCTCCATCCTAGGCAGGATTAGAAACAATTGCACAGAGGGAATAGAAAGATACTTTTTAGGATAAAGGAAAGGTATTCCCAAACCCTAGAGAATCATGATACCTCTCTCATCACAAAAACATAATTATGGGGGGAGGGAGTCCCTAAATACCAAAAGGAAATGAGATATATTCAACCATGACTAAATTCCAATTCCTTGCCTAGACACCAACTAATGAGATTCATAGGGTGGGGTCTAGGTGCTAAGGGAATGATATTCCTGTCTCCCACCCACCTGTGCTGGGTTTTCTTTTTTAACAGTAAGTCCTTGTAGAAGATTTTTGTAGCTCTTAAATGGTAGTTACATCAAAGCAAACAACCTCCTATTAATCTGGAGGCAAGTAAACTAACATTTGGCTAGCATTTGCCCTGGAGCCTTGTTTCTATTTCTACTCTCAATGATCATCATTTTCTATCCTAGTGCCTTTCCTCCTTGGGTCATGAAACAAGAGGGCAGATTCTATTCTTTTACACAGTCCACAGCAAGGCTGTATGCCCAGTCCAAGAAATGTAACTGAAGTTAGGACCTTGCTCCTACACTGGGTAGGTAGAAATTACCTTGATAGCATTCAGCACTCAATTGCTCTCCCCGTCTTTAGCACCTCTTCTCTCATAGGTCATATCTGTTGTCCTTTGTCTTTATTACATACAAGGAAGCACCCTGGATGGCTGCAAGTCCCTCAGATGGACAGCGCTCTATAACACAGTGTTAAAATAGCTAAAAGCATTTTTAAAAAATCCACTTACCCTTCTCATTCTTTTCCTTTTTCCCTTCATCACCACCCCCACTTTGCTCTAGCTTTTGGAATTCTATGATCTAAAGTCCAAAATGCTTTAAATTTGTGCCACATGGGATACTGAAAGGATATTATACATGCACACACACACACACACACACACACACACTCTCTCATTCTAAGCTTTTACTGCAGCCAGAATAATTGCTGCACCATCTAAAAAGTCCACTGGAAAAAAAAAAAAGCACGTAGCCTTCAACACAGTAAGCTGATTTTTATGTACGCTGTAAAACATTAAATGATCATAACTCCTATCAATAGAAAAAATTACCTGGCTCTATCCTTCCTTTTCCTTTTGCAGAAAGAAAGAAGGCAGATTCATAGGCCCTGAAGGATGCATGTCTGTCTTTGGTAGCTGGCAAGCTACCAATCTCTAAAGACACACTGGTGGGAGAGAGCTAAGAGTTGCTTCTTTTTCTAGTAACCTGTTTGTCCCAGTAGGCTATGGCCTATCCTGTGAAAAGGAATTTTAGGCTATCCTCAAACTTTTAATTCACTGTTCATCCAGGTATGCTATGAAACAGAGGTGTTGTGCTCCTGGGCCCCAAACAGGAAGACAATCGACCCTAAGAACCTGCAGGAGAAGCTCTTCCTGCCACTGCCACAGGAAAGAGGAAAATAAGCCCAATATCTGAAGGTGGTTTCTATGAATAAGTACATTATACAGAAACCGGATTGCACAGTAGGAAGCCAGATACTCCCTTGAAGGTCTCCCAAAATAAAATGGAGGATAAGAATGGCAAGACCAGGATGGAAAGATCATGCACCCTGAACGCTGGCTTCTGATGTCACAGTAAACACCAAGGCTGGGAGAGAGGTGGGAATTCTGGGCCTGACTTCAGCCTTCTCTTCCAGCTGCTTTGGTATCTGTCAGAATGCTTGGAAGCTTGGCAGAAGGGAAACAAAACAGTGTGGGCTTTTCCGGATTGCCTATGCAGAGGGCACATGGACACTTGCCCTGGGCTTCCTTGCCCCCTCTTTCCTGCACAGAGTCATTACCAGAACACCTAATGAATGGAAAAATAAACATTTGCTTTGTCACTGAAGGTCTGGATCAGGCAATACCAGGACATGAAGCCTTACTTACCACCACGTGTTTCTCTGGGGGACCCCAGAGCCTGGCATTTCGTAGGCTAACTAGCCTTCTCCACTTCTCAGAGAAAGCCTTCAATGATGCATTTCCAGACCTGTTTCAAGAGTAGCAGAAAAAGTAGTTCTATAAATGGAAGTATGCTATGATGATGCAGAGCATCTGGAACTATAATCACACCCATCAGAGCTACGAAGAAGTCAACTCACTCCATAACACAAGTCCAGATTACTTCTGCTCAGGACCTTCTTAACCTCTAGGAACTTCATCCCATGCACTTCTCCTCCTGATCCAGGCTGAATTTCCTGCTTTCCCTCCAATTCATTTCTCATTTGCCTGAGAGGTGGCTCTTTTTTACCCTGTAACAAAAGTGCTCTATCCTCAGTAACTTTAAACAACAAAATCAAAGAGGTTTTCTTTATTCATTCAGTAAATATCTACTGATTAGTAGCAACTATGTGGTAATAATTGTATTAAATGTTGTGAGGGTGATCAGACATAGGTTCACTCCTTCGAGAGCAGGAGAAACCTCAGAAAATCTGAATTAATAAATACTTGGCAGAGGTGGTCAGCTCTTCATCCAAACTCTTCCTCTGATTCCTGGATATATAGCTACACATACTTCCCAGCTTCCTCACAAGTTAGCCATGCCCATATGCCTGAGTCTTAAACAATAAAAGTGGTTCTAAATGACATGCACAGCATCTACATCTAGCCTGTGAGGTCCTGTGTGCTCCTGTTTCCGCTGGCTAGCTGAGATGGACATGACCACCAGCTTTTGGCAGCAATATGAAGACAATAGAACTTCAGATAGCCCAAGTCCCTGAACACCCACTTGGAGGAAAGTTGCCATTTTGGTCCACTCATCTTTACCTGGTCCATTCAAACCTCCACTGTGTGGCTCCATTGGGTCTATTCCCAACAGCAACCAGGTTACCTCAGGTTGCTGAAATTAATATTCAAATGGAAAGATATCCACAGTGTGTACTAGAGTAAAATAGACTGAAATTGTTAATATAATGGTCCCATTTTTAACAGATATCTATCCATCTATCTATCTATATCTGTATATATATGTATATGTATCTACAGGAACATTGCAGAAAATTTATAGTAAAGTATGGTGTTTATCTGGGGATATAGTTAAAAAAAAAGAAAAAGAAAAAGTTGTGGCTTCTCTACAGTTCCAAATGCATCAATGGTGAATATGTTCTGATCTTATTTGACATTGAAAAGGAAACTGGATCTTGAGCTGTCTATACAGTGGTCCAGCATCTCCAAGTGGATAAGGACTTCTTGAGAAAAATTAGGAAATTTTTCACAAACTCACTCACCTATTAATGACCTTTCAACACCAAAAATCTATAAATTAGCCTCAGGCTGAGAAATAGATCAATTCCATTAGACAACACACTTGGCTCTTTTATAGTATTTTGTGTCTAGCCTCTCTCACTCAGTAAAATGTTGTCAAGGTTCATCCACATGGTAGCATGTATTCAGTGCTGCTTTTCTTTTTATGGCCCATGGAGGCCTCATCAATGGAAATCAATTTGCCAAAAAGGATGAAAGAGATATATTGTTTACCTGTGAAGAACAAAGTAGCAAGAAACTAGTCTTGGCACAAGTGGATAGAGGGCGAGGGGTACAAAGAAAGGCATGTATTGCAAGTGAGGGTGCAGGTACAAGTAGCAGACTTAACAGCCTTTTCTTAAACTTTTGAGCACTTTTCTACTTGTACTTATGATCTACTCCAACAGTTCTAAGTCAGGACCTTTTAGAAATAGTAACTGAGGAATTCTTTTTTTACTTTAGGGACAGAAACAAATACTGATCAAATGAATCATTTTAAAATTCTCAAATATAATCCCACAAAACCATAGGTCAGTTGGTCATTCCAGCAAAAATTCTCCCTATTGGGATACAGGTGGACCCATTGCAACAATGAGATGTACAAGTTGTTATGTTGAAAACGAACTTTACAACTTTGGTGGGGGGGGGGGAGGTGGGGAAGATTGGGTTGGGGGGTTGGGGGAGGATGGGAAGGGATGGGAATGGGAAACAAAGGAGGAGACAACAATGCTTGATAAGAAATGTACTCATGATCTTGCCCATGTAATTGTAACCCTTCTGTACAGTATTTTCACAATAAAAAAAAATTCTCCCTATTCTGCTTGGGAGAAGCCTAAATATATTCTTTCCATACCCTGGAGAATACTGCATGTCAAAACAAGACTCACCTTTGCTCTCTCCAACACAATTTCTAAAAGAGAAAGAGTTTGTTATACAGTAAGAATCAGAAATTATGCGAATTCCCCTTCCTCTACCAAGTAGGCCTAAGATTGGCCCAAACAAGAAGCAGGCCACCATCTGTCTAAAACACAGGTTGAAGTCTCTGTGAAACTGAGTGTGAAAAGATGAATTCCTGCTAGATGGCTTGATGGGAAGGACTCTTAGAAATACCACCAGGTAGGGAGTAAAAGGAAGCAGAATTAGAGCAAAGAAGAGTTCAAGCTGGTCATGGTGGCTCTTAACTATAATCCTAACCACTCAGAAGGCTGAGACTAGAAGGAGCACAGGTTGAGGCCAACCCAAGTGAACAATTTAAGCAACCGCATCTCAACTGATAAATGCTGTGCATGGTTATATGTGTCTATCTTCTTAGCTATATAGGAAGTATAAATAGGAAGCTCAAATATTAGAATAATTGAAGCAATAATTCAGGTGGTAGAGCACCTGCCTAGTAAACTCTTAAGTTTAAAGCCAGTAGTTCCCTACCCTTGAAGAATAACAGGTCAGTAGAATGCATTCAAGTTACAACAAAGGAGTCAGGGGATGTCAAAGGGAACTTTGGAACTGCAACAGCCCTTTAGAGTCACCCCAATTTGGGCTAAAGACACCAAAATATACCCCATCCTGGCCAGGGCAAGCAGTTCCCTTTAAGCAATTTTCTGGAAGAGACCGGATTATGAGACTTTAGCAGAAAGTACTCTCCGAAAGTGAGGGGACAAACCTAGGATCAAGGGACATATAACGGTGCTTACTACAAGCAGCAGGAAGATCTCCACTCTTGTCCTAATTAGTCTATGTCCAATTGCCAAAGAAATCACATCAAAATCTGTTTCTATTATTTCTCTTTGAAATTTCTCAGCTTCATCCTGAAATTGAATGTCCTCGTACCCAGGCATAAGGCTCTTCTAAAGCCTAGAAGCTAGCCCCAGGTGATAGTCTCCCTGCAGGCACCCAGCCTCCAACCACTTCAGTAAATTCATTAGCCCTATAAGTTGCCATGTCCTTTCAGGACTCTGAGCCTTGTTATATTCTGCTCCCTCATGCTTGGCCCCGCTGTTATCTTCCTGGAAAGTCCCTAATTACCCTTTAGCCCACAGAGTCATTTCCACCAAGATTTTACTGTCTCCCAGATAACTCAGACTGTTTCTTCCATGTTCCCACCACTTTGCGTATATCCAGACAGCCACCCACCTCAGTCCCCAGGGATGCACAAGACTGGAGGCATCTTGAAAACAGAGCTAGTCTTTCATCTTTGTCTCCCTGATACATAGAAAGTATTAGAGGAAACGTTTGTTGAATGTCCACTGTAAAAGAAACAGAGTCAGCAATGTTAACACTGGCTAGGAACAGCAGATGTTTTCTGATAAATTGGTGGGAGGAGCCAGAAACCATACACATAGAAAGAAACATGGTGTTTGCAACCAGCCATGTGCCAGAAAAAGGTGCCCTTTGTGTCAACTTTGACATCCATCATCCAACATCAGAAACTTGACAGAATAAAAAGTGTATTGGGGGGCTCCTGTGTTGACAGGAAAATCACGCTGAGGGTTCAACAACCAGATCTCTTCCAGGGGTAACTTTAAGAATGGAGCCTTTGGGCTGGAAAGGTGGCTTATGGGTAGAATGTGTGAAGCCCTGGGTTTGATTCCTCAGTACCACATAAACAGAAGAAGCCACAAGTGGCGCCGTGGCTCAAGTGATAGAGTGCTAGCCTTGAGCACAGAGGCTCAAGGACAGAGCCCAGGCCAAGTTCAAGCCCAAGGACCAGCAATAAATAAATAAATAAGAAAGAATGGAGCCTTGAGTTGCATTGGCTCCTGGCAGAAGTAATTCAGTAAGTCAAATGATAGGCTGAAGCAAGCATCCCTCTTTCTGTGTGTGATTTCCTGTACAATCTTGGCCAATAGGAACTACCACACACGAATAACATATTCGCAATGTTTTTCTATGCAATGTTGATCATCTAAGGTGTCAGTGAAAAGCCAAGCAATAGAGTTGCACGACTTAAGAGATTTTAAGCCAAAAGGGAACAAAGACCCAAAACCAGAAAGAAGGAAAGGAATTTGGGCCATCTTGGAAGGGGAAAGCAGATATGCAGGCTGCCATCGTTCTTGGCCTCTAATCTCATATTTGTCCTCATTTTATATGTCTATCCTTAAGTAGCAATATAATTGGAACCAGGTCAAACTGAAAAGTGAATCAGTCATATTGTAAACAAGTAGCTTTTTTAGAGTCCCTTGGTACAAACAATAATGCTGACTAATGAAGCAAAATCATCTAGCATCATTGTAAGCGAGCAAACCAAGGTTGGCTTCAATCTAAATGAACCTTAGGTCTATCTTTCTTTATTTTCTTTATATTGTCTTTCTTATTCCCTCTTTTGGACCAGGAAACTGTCTATCTGAGAAGAAAAGAAGAAATATTGTCTCTCCTCAGGAAATGCCAATTGGCCACAAATCTTTATCTGCTCCAGTCAGAGAGGAGGCTGGGGCCTCCCTCAAGCACACAGAATATATATTCCATCCTTCATTTCCTTCTTCTGACAGACCAGAGATGCTCCTCAAACAGAGTTCAGAAGTAGCTGTTGCCAATATCCAAAAGGAAGGCTTGCCCAACCAAGCAACTGCTCCACCCACCCAAAAGCCTGATTATGATGCTTCTATTTGAACGTAGGAGTCAGTCTCTAAAGATAGCCCTACCCCGCGCACAGCCTGCACCTTTTCTGCTTTTCTGCTTCCACAATACTGAAGTGGGTGGTCTCCAGACTTTTCCTGGGAGAGCAGCGTGAGGCAATGAGACATAAGAGAAGACCCTCTGGCTTTGGGATGGGAAAGGTAGAACAGCAGCCCTCTACCCCAGAGCTGTCTCAAGCCCCAACCCTTCTCTTTCTTCCAAAGGATCCTTCCCAAAGTAGATGATCACTGTGGTCACTGGTCTTGGAGTACTGATTAACCACAGGGAAATTCTCAGAAGTATGCCTTTCCACCTCCCTGGCTCATGGGTCCATCTGTAAAATTCAAAATCTCATTCGCTGGGTACACCT